GGGGTCTTTGTGGCTGAATAAAATTAAGGAGAGAATAGGACATAAGATGTCTTAGTTACCATCCTAGTGCTATGCTAAAACACCATGACCAAGGCAACCTATAAAAGAAAACATTGAACTTGGGACCTAGCGTTTGAGGTTGGAGTCTGTGAGTGTAGTGACAGGCAGGCATGGCGCTGGAGCGGTAGCCAAGAGCTCACATCTGAAGACAGACATGAGCAGAGAGAAACACTCGGACTGGCCAGGTCCCCAGTGTCCGCCAGCAAGGCCACGCCTCCTAATCCTTCCCAAACAGTTCCACTAACTGGCAGCAAGCATTCAAACATGAGCCTGTGGGGCCGTTCTTATTTGAACCACCACATAAGACTAGAGAAGAAATGGGGCAGGTTCTAGTGGGGAAGAATTTGTGCTCACATTTCACTTTGACTTTTACTAAAATACAGTTCTTGGGGGTCTTCGATTGGCTGAAGTGCACATTTCATTCTAGAATATGCTAAACCAGAGCTTTACCTCTTGCTCTGTGAGCTAGTGTCCTTCTCCAGGTTTTTTTTTACATAGTGCTATGTGTTTCACATTTCTGTGCTGTATTTTCTGGTGGTCAGCTGGCCTCCATGGGTAGTCTGAGGGTACTAACTAACACTTGTCAACTCAAGAGGACTGTGGCATGCCTTAAGGGAAAAATTATATTCAGTAAGCTCCATTTAATGAAGATTTGTAATGCTTTTGGTCATTATCCAGTATCAGTGAATCCATAAGTGTGTGCAAGCAGTTTGGTTGGTTGATTTTTAATTTGTTGTCATTTCGGTAGTTGATTAAAACCCAGTCTTGTGCAAAATATGCCCTCTTCCACTGAGCTACACCCTTAACCCCAACAGATTGTTTTAAATAAAGTGTCCTTAAACAGGACTCAAGTTTGCCCAAATCTAATGTTATATTATGTCTAGAGCTGTGTTTTAATATTTGCTAATTCAGTGTTTGTGACTACTTTATAGAATATGTCCATCATGAGTGGTGGGAAGCAGCAATCGATACATATATCTCAATGTATATATTTAAATCTAAAATTCTTAAAAAAAAAAAAAAAAAAAAACCAGAATCAGATCTGGGTTTCAAATCTGGTACTGGCTGTCTCCATAAGCATACTTCTATTCAAATATGTCCTGGTCATTCATGGAGCCCGTGGTCTGGGAGCTGGGGTTCTAGCTCAGTGACTGGGCACTTTCTTAGCATGGCAGAGGCCCTGACTTCTGTCTCAGCACTGTTAAATAAATAATCAGTCTTCATGTATGAAATTGTCAAAGAATAAATTCAAAATATTCTCAAAAAAAATTGCCCATGGAAGTGTGTGTAGTTTAATTTTTTTTCATTCCTTTTCATAGAATGGTAGTCGAAGAAGAACACCCGGTGGGGTTTTTCTGAATCTCCTGAAGAACACTCCTAGCATCAGTGAAGAGCAAATTAAGGTAATGGCAATGGCTGTGTCCTTAGGGCCCACACTTGTAATCCCAGCACCCAGAAGCAAAGACAAGAGGATGACTGCACATTCCAGGGAAGATCCCATTTCAGAAGATAGAGGGGAGCCAGGCATGGGTGCAGTGCACACCTTTAACCCTAGCCCTTTGGTAGAGGCAGGGCCAGGTGGATCTCTGAGTTTGAGGCCACCAGAGTTAGATGAGATCCTGTTTCAGAAATAGGAGAGAAAAGATGCATAGTACTTTTTGGACTTCTACTCAGTCTTTCTTTTCTTTTTGTTTTGTTGTTTTGTTTTTGTTTGTTTGTTTGTTTGTTTGTTTGTTTGTTTGTTTGTTTGAGACAGGGTTTCTCTGTTTAACAGCTCCAGCTGTCTTGGAACTCACTCTGTAGACCAGGCTGGTCTCGAATTCACAGAGATCTGCCTGCCTCTGCCCCCTGCGTGCTGGGTTTAAAGATGTGTGCCACCACTGCTGGGCTGGTCTAGCGTTTTGAGAATCAGTTTTAAGAACATGCAGTTGGGCCAATGAGAGGACTCAGTGACTAAGAGCTGGCCACTAAGGCCTACAACCTTGCTGGGAGCTATCCCTGGCTATGGACAGGTCTCAGCAGAGGACGTAAGGAGTCAGCCATGATGGTTGGGAGAATCTTGCAGCCCTGACAGACTAGCATCCAGAGTGCTTCTTTATTTATACAGAATTTAGTAAACAGGGATATATTCATGTTGTTCCAAAACATCGATCATATCATTTTTGTTTTTGGACATGTGTTTCACTCCCTTTTGCTCATTAATAAAATATGACAGAACAGAGTTATCATTTCCAGTCTTTTCCCTTTAAGTTTTGACACAATTGATGAAGAGTTAACATTTTTACTTGTGAGGTAACCTAATTTTAAGAATCTATAACCTAATTTTTAAGAATCTAGAGGCATATGACAGCCTGTTCTCAGGCTGGTAGCTCTGGTTGTTGCTACAAGAATGCTAGACCAAAACAAAATCTTCAAGCCAGCCCAGGCATATTGCCATGTCCCAAGCAGTGTATTATTAACTCTTAAAGGTCAGAGTGCCCAAGAAAAATCCTCAGGCCAAAGCTGCTACAGCTATTCAAATTCTGGCATGGTAACTTCAGCTAATGTAACTAACTTTGTTGCTGTACATGTCACGTCATTGCCTGAGTGGACAGTGGAAAGAGGCTTGCTCAACTGTGACCAGTTCTTATAGCCCACCGAATCTTGTTGACCTTTTAAAGTTTCCTTTGTTTTCATTATCTTGTTCCTGAGCAAGTACAGGGACAAATGTTTCATAGCCTCATGAAGAGACCTCTGGCTTCTTTATGTGTGTCACAGCCTCCAAGGCCTAAGGAAGACCTTCCAGTAGATAAGGATGTCTCCTAAAAGTATGTGTGGTGGGGGGTGGAGGGTATGTTCAGGACTTGCCTGGGGAAAGTAATACTCCTGAGAGAAGGTATGAATGATTTGTAAGGAATTTTCCGTCAAGCCAATATCGCTTTAACTGCCGTCTTTCCAGCCCTACAATAATATTTTGAAGAGATAGAATTGTTGTTACATTTTGCAAGTAGCATGTTCTTACATAGGTTAGTTTAATTTCATAGCACATAAATAGTTTTGTAGTCATATATAGTTAGGATGTTTCAAAGTTAATAGTAGTAAATTGTTTATTCTGGTTGTGTGTGTGTGTGTGTGTGTGTGTGTGTGTGTGTGTGTTATCAGTTATAGTTTATTTAAATTCTAAACAAAATTTCCCCATGGTAGTTTCTTTTAGCAAACACATATGTGGGATGATGTGTTATGGTAGAATAAGCATGGCCTACCTAACAGTAGACTGGTTTTGAATATAGCAGTTGGCACTTAATATCATGAACTCTGTTCTGATAATGAGATGACTAGTCCTTTTTTGTGAGAAAAAAAAAAAAAATGACTATAAAAGTCCCGCCTCAATGTACCTATAACAAATAATATGGGATGGTTTTTGTTTATTATTTTTAGCCAATTTTTTTTTTTAATTTCAGGATATTTTCTACATTGAAAATCAAAAGGAATATGAAAATAAAAAGGCTGCTAGAAAAAGAAGAACACAGCTATTGGGGAAAAAAATGAAACAAGCTATTAAAAGTTTAAATTTTCAAGAGGATGATGATACATCACGAGAAACTTTTGCAAGTGACACTAATGAGGCCCTGGCCTCTCTTGATGAAGCCCAGGAAGGAGCTGGTGAAACCAAGCTGGATGCTGAGGAAGCCATCGAGGTGGACCACACTCAGGATTTGGACATCTTTTAGGCACATTTTGGACATTTTGAAGAATAAACCTTTGTAAAAAAAACATCGTTTCCATTTCTACTGAGGTTGCTGTACTATGCACTGAATCTGAGGAAGGAGAGCTGTTTCTGTTTCTGCTTGAAGTAAACGTGTATGAGAGCAGTCGATGCTGCCATTGATGGCAGTGTTTAGAGATGGATGGCTGTGGCTGACAGGCGTACAGCACGGGCCTTACTTCTCACTCTGCTGCATGTACTGACTGGTAACGCCTCGTTCCACCTGCAGTCACTGTCCAGCTCACTGTTGGATGCCATTAAGAAGCTTTTTTTCCTGATTTATCTTTGTGCTGAACTATGCTTTGGTTTCAACACATTCCATTAAAATATGCTATAATATGCATAAATTGCATAAATTATCAGCTCTGACATCCAATTGTTCCTGCAGGGTGGGCAGGGTCCTTCTGCCTCTGCCTAAGTAGTGCTGAGATTATGGGTTGGTTCATGCCACCATGTTCTACTACCTTTTGGCAAGTTTTGATAAGAGCTGTTTATTACTGTGTGCTTGAGAGGAGAGTGAGGGGGCCGTGCATTTGGCCCCAGCATGCTTGTGGTGGTCCACGGACAATTCTGTGGAGTCAGGTGTCTCTTCCCCTTTAAGTGGGTTCTGGGTTGTAAGGCCTGCACCTCAAACATCTTTATCTGCTGAGCCATCTCACTAGCCCCTTCTGAGCACTCTTGAAGACAGAAACTTAGTCTGTACGGAAGCCACTTGCCACTTGTTTGTTGAAAGCAAATGTCAGAAGCTTTTTTTCTTTTTGTTTTTTTGAGGTAAGATCTCAATATGTAGCTCTGGCTATCCTAGAACTCATTATGTAGACCAGGCTGGCCTCAGATTCCCTATGTAGCCAATGATGGCCTTGAATATCTGATCTTCCTGCCTCTTCCTCCCAAGCGCAGAGATTAAAGGCCTGCACCACCACACTTGGTTTATACAGTGTTAAAAATTGAACCAAAAGTTCAGTCCTCCTGAGCAAATACCACCAACTGAACTGCATCCTTAGGTTCTAATCCAACCATGTTTTCCTGTGTCTGTCAAATGTGCAGGGGCTCCAACTATTGTCATGCCTTAATCAATAATGTTTTTCATGAAGAGACTTACAGACACTGTGAATATAGCTCTGAGCTGCACATTCCTGGCTCCCAAGGGTTGCTGTGGCATTAGCAGGATGATTGTTACATCAACAGCAGCAGTTTCATCAGAATTGGGCTGTATGAGGTTCTAAGTGAGAATTCTGTCATTGCTGCCAGTGATGGCTTTGGAAAAAGATGCCTGTCCCGCTTTACCGAAACTGGACGACAGTGGTGCAGCAGGGAACGAATCTAAGCCTGCCAATAAGTGAGGAGGACCTCGGGGTTCTGGGCGGTGGGTCATTGTGTTGTCTTAGACACAGTGCAGGGCCTCACAAGCTAGGCAGGTGCTCTACCACTGAGTCTCATCAGCCTCCCCCGCTGCACCCCCAGGACAGGCTCTCATGTGGTCCAAGCTGGCCTTGACCTCCCTATAGAGCTGAGAGGGACCTTGGACTCGAT